TTGCTTAACCTTATGCATTTGTAACAGAGGCTGTGTCTTTCTTTCTTTCTGGAGGGGGAATGAGGAAGAACAAAGAAGGAGGATTTTCTTTGATTGAATAAAGTAAAAATTTAATTACACCCCCCCCCATCAGAGTAGTGCTTGTCAACTGGAATGAACTAGCCTCTAACCTGTGGATGGCCAGAGCTGAACAGAGCAGGCTAGAGAATAGGAGAGTCAGGAATCAAAAAGAAGTTTAACTTCAAAGTGAGGGGAATGGCTTGAAAGCAAGGAGGCAGATTAGACACATGTGCCACAGCCCTACCCCTAGTGTGTGTGTGGGGGGAGCACGACGACACGATGGACCCGACCCAGGGATCCCTTTAGTTTGGCTGAACCTTGATTTACATACTTGTGTCTAGACAAAGAGTCAAACAGTGTATTATAACAACAGTGTGAGGCATAGCAGGAACAGTGAGGCAAGGTTGTTTACTGACAAAAAGTCAGTTCACAGCAGGGCTTTGTATCTGGGTCTGTTGGTGCTTGCCCAAGCTCAGAGACCATCAGTTCCAGAGGGTGAGCACAAAGGATTGTTGTTATGCCAAGCTTAGGGCACAGCTTGCTTACTGGGCCTTACCTCTAGAAAACAGGGTATCTCCTAATATCTCAAAACACTATACAGGGTATACCTATGCTAATTTTTCTTCCTAATCATGTTTAGTTCGTTAGAATTTAAAAGCCTAAATGGAACTCAAAACTTAGTTTTTAGATGTTAGGCAGCATTAACGTCAACAATAACAAAATTATTTAAAACTGAAAGTTGCAAAATTATAATGAACAAGCTTGGTCCCAAAGAAAAGATATGAAAAGGCACCCTCTCCTTCTTTGCAGAGGTGGAGGATTATAGGTATGGAACACTGAATCAGATTTTTTCAAGACATTTGTTAGTTTTGGTGAATTCTTTTTTTCCCCCCTTGTTGTAATTCTTTGTCATTAGAGATGGCTCTCTAGGATGGGGGTCAGGAAGAAGGAAAGGATACATTAATAAATGTAATGATGTAAAAACAAAATATTTCAATAAACATTTCTTACAAAAAATTTTTTTTAAAGATATGGTTTCATCAAGTAGATATAGCAAGATTATCACCTCTCTGGTTCTGATACTATTTCTAATGGTTAGAGACGGTATCAGCTTATATTTTTTCCTGCCATGGCATACCATAAATTAATTTATAACTTTTAGAACACTAAAATCCTAATGTCTTTTTTTAAAAAATGCAAACTGTTGTCTAGCTATCCTTGGGAAATTGATTTTTTGAATCCTAGGCAGAACTTCGTATTTTCTCTATTAAATTTCACCTGGTGAGCCATTCTCCATAAATAAGAAGTGGATCCAGTTAGCATGATTGTGAGATTTTTCTCTTGGGCTACTCAGCAGGATGAAAGCAGGAGTGAAGAAGGCGGATGGCCCAGAAACTGGGGTGGAGTGATGAGGAAGATCATGGGAATCAAGGAGAACGATATATTGGAAGTGCAGGGTTTTTCAGGGCACATCAGTCTATGTATGATTCAAGTCTGAGGCATGAGTTTGTGATGGAAAGAAAGTAAGGTTATAAGCTAAGTGCTGAATTTCTTGAGATAAAGAGAATGACCTGGAAATTAGTATTTAATAGAAACAATGTACTGGATAGGGAACTATAGATAGAGTGAACCTGAAAGGAGGAGAGAAAAGTCTTGAAGTAGCATTGAAGTAATAAGGAATATGCCTACTCCTCCTTCTAGACCAGTGTTTCTGAGCTTGTTTGTGTTTGGCCAAGGAGTGATAGATTGGAGACAGGCTGGGAGAAAGGACCTTTGGTACTTAAAAGGAAACCAGAGACATAGTGTCTTATAGGTCGATGCAGGTTTGAATGGACTCAAATATATGGGATTGTGAGAGAAAGAGAGATTTGTTAAATACAAAACTCATTATTAAAATGCAACTTCCTCGAGGGCAGGTATTATTTTGTTTGGATCCATGGTATAGTGGAGATTGTTCTGTACTGGGAGTCAGAAGACCTGGGTTCAAATGTTAGTTCTGATACTTGTTACCTATACAGTTATGGGCAAGTCACTTCATATAATTATAGAACTTCATAACTGGAAAGGATTTGAGAGGCGTTTTGGTCTAGGTTATACCCAAACAAGAATTCTTTCTACAAGATACTCGATAAATGGTCAACAGCCTTTGACTGTATAAGCCTTATTTGTAAGATGGGAATAATAATACATAAACTCCCTCCACTATAGGATTATTGTGAGGAAAGTGATGTGTAAATCTTAGAGCTATATAACTGTGAGTTATTAGTATTCCTTTGGATTGACACAATACTAACATATAGTAGGCACTGAATAAATGCTTGCCAGACTGAACTGAATTGAATCGAATTGCTATAAATCAACTTGCATTTCAAAGGCATTAGGAAAAATATTTAAAGGAATTCAGTGAAGAATATTTTGGTTCAGTGCCCAGCACATAGAAAATGCTGACTATACATTTGTTGACTGACTGATGGATTTTTCTATGGGTCAGGGGAATTAGCATTTGTATAGTGCCTACTATATGCCAAGCACTATGCTAAGTGCTTTACAAACACAATCTCATTTGATTCTCACAATAACCCTGGAAGCAGGTGCTGTTATTATGCCCATCTTATAGATGAGGAAACTGAGGCAGAGGTTAACTGACTTGTCCAGGGTCACACAGCTAGTGTCTGAGTCTGGATTTGAACTATCTTCCTGACTCCAGGCTCTATGCCCAATCTACTTTGCTATCTACCTGCCTTTATGTTAGGGGGCAGTTGATATCACCCCACTCCATTTAGCCCAGATACTTTTTTCATTTATACATCTTGATAGATTCAAATCAGAGCTATGAACAAGGCTTACAGACCAGTATTTAATAAATTAATCAATCAAAGACTTGAGACTAAGTCCTTGGATGGGAACTGGAGGGACATTGATGAGACAGATGTTAATGGATTGACTGACGAGTCTTAGTCATGCTCTGTGTGTCCTTTATAAAATATCAAACCAGTTTAAGGCCAAAAGATTTAAGAAAGCAGAAAGGAGAGATTGCTACAGCTAAACCCTGGTGAAGGGCATAAGGAGGAGAGCCCTGGACTTTCGTTTTGGGTTAAACCTCCTGCCACCCATCCTAGCAGCTTCCCTTGACCAGCTAAACAGTAGCCTCTGACTCAGATTCAAGGTTCTAGCAAGAGCCGAGCAGAAGTTACTTCATACCTAAAGGGAACAGCTTGAGGGTTTTCAACAACAGTTGAAACAGTTTCCAGAAGCTGTGTTTGTCCCTCATGCCTTCTAGGCCACCAGCAAAAAGATTAGGACTCACTGAAGGCTCAAATGATGGTTAGTATTTTTTAGCAATAAAGTATTTTTTAATTAAGGTATATACATTGTTTTTTCTTAAAGACATAATACTATTGCACATTTACTAAAAAGTTCAAGTGACTCATTTTATTGTGATATTTACCTTTATTTTGGTGGTCTGGAACTGTACCCACAATATCTCCTAGGTATGCCTCTACCAACCAAACCACCTTAGTTAGCTGCCCCTTTCTAAGAAAAAGCTAACTAAGCCTGGTTGACTAATATCATAATCAACCTATAATCATGCTGGGAAGCACAATGGGTTACTGGGCTTGTGAGCTAGAGAACTGGAAAGATACCTCCCAACCTTCAGGGTTACCCATAGAGCCCTGAGGAGACATACTTCAGGAGCTCTGGGGATCCAGCCTGTCAGTGTGAAGGAATGTAGGGTTAGAAGAGTAGCTCTGAAAAGAAATGTATAAAGGAGTTTTTCACTATTTTTGTTCAAAATTAACAAGTCCAAAATGGAACTCATTATATTTCCTCCTAGCCTTGTACCCCTCCCCAGTCCCTTCTCTATTACTGTAGAGGGCCAACAACATGCTCTCAGTCTGTCAGGCTCCTAATCCGTGAGCCATTTTGGACTCCTCACTATCTCTCATCCTCTATCTGGGAGGCATCCTTTACTCCTCCCTGTCTCTTACTCCCATCATTTTGTTGCCAAAGCCTGTTGATTTTACTTTTGCAAAATCTCTCCCTTTTCCCCTTTGACACTGCCACCACTCTAGTGCAGGCCTTCATCACCTCATAGCTGGACTCCCACAGTAGCTGCTGGTGGGTCCGCCTGCCTCTAATCTCTCCCCCTTTCAATCCACCTCTATTCAGCCACCAAAGTGATTTTACTAAAGCACAGGTCTGATCGTGTCACCCCCTAATCAATAAACTCCAGTGGCTCCCTATCACCTCCAGCATCAAATACAAAATCGTTTGCTTATTGTTCAAAGCCTAGACCTCTCCTGCCTTTCCAGTATCCTTTTTTATACATTACATCAGAGATGAGAGGTTTTTTGGTTGGTAGGTATTGAAGTGGGCCTAGAGTCAGGAAGACCTGAGTTTACACCCAACCTCAGGTACTTACTAGCTGTGTGACCCTGAGAAATTAACCTCTGCCTCAGTTTCCTCTTCTGTAAAATGAGGATGATAATAATATGAGGTAAGTATTATCTAGGGCTGCTGTGAGATCAAATGAGTTTGTAGAATACTTTGCAAACCTTACATGGATGCATAATTACTAGCTGACAACTGATGAGCCTCAGTTTCTTCATCTGTAAATGAGGGTACTACTATTTGCACTACTGGGCCTTAGAGTGGTATATAAACATGAGTCAATATTACTAACTATATTATATAGCTATCCACAGCTATTATAAGCAAATCTCACATTGTGTGTGGAAATTTGAAAATTTTCACTTTGACTAAGATACTGGTTGACCAAACAATAAAGCTCACCCCTCTTCCACTTACTTTCCCACACTGCTTGCCAAGGCAAAACTTAATTTTTCTCGCAAATCCACCATAAAGCTTCACGTGGCCTGCACAAATCAGACTCTCCGTATTTACGGAGGTTAAGGCAGTCAGATGGCAGCTGTCCGCGCATGTGCAAAAAGAGGCTAATTCTTAGTATTGGTCAAAAAGAGACATTCTCGAAAAGTTCGAGCCAGGGCCGGAACTGCGCAGGCGTGGAGGGCGCGGCGCCGCAGCACACGGCGGGGGCGGGGCTTGGGCTCGGCAACGTTACAAGTAGCTGCAGCGTTTGGCAGCGCCATTTTGAAAGCGCTGTTGCCGCGGATCGGTTGTGCGTAGCAGGAGCTGAACGCCTGGTTCGGTCTTGCGGCTTGTCCGGCCTCCTTTTCCACCCTACGGACATCTTTTTTTTTTTTCCTTCAGACTTACAGCGAATTTAGGGGAGCGATCATGTTGAGAGGAAACTTGAAGCAAGTGCGGATCGAGAAAAACCCGGCCCGCCTGCGGGCCTTGGAGTCGGCGGCGGGGGAGAGCGAGACGGCAGCTGCGGCTGCCATGGCGCTAGCTCTGGCCGGGGAACAGGCGCCGCCCCCCTCGGCGCCCCAGGAGGACCACCAGGAGGAAGAGATGGGCTTCACCATCGACATCAAGAGCTTCCTGAAGCCGGGAGAGAAAACGTACACGCAGCGCTGCCGCCTCTTTGTGGGGAACCTTCCCACGGACATCACGGAGGAGGACTTTAAGCGGCTTTTCGAGCGCTACGGGGAGCCCAGCGAGGTCTTCATTAACCGAGACCGCGGCTTTGGCTTCATCCGTCTGGTGAGAAAGAGGGATCGACCTCGCCACAGGCAGTCATTCGCGCGCGCCCCTCCCCTCCCCCAGCGCTCCGAGGGTCCCCAGGGGCCAGCGCCATGGCCGCCCCGGCGTTACCAGCCGCGTGCGGCTCGGCGGCGCGTCGGACCTCTTCCGGGCCCGTCTAGCTTCCCCGCGCTTGGCAGTTAGGCTGGCCTCGAGTCCCGGCGGCTCGCTGCAGCCATCCTTGCCCGATTTAAAATCCCGTTTTCGGTCTGTTCTAGATTTTCATCTGGTCCCCGAGGGAGCGCCTTTGCTTTCGTTGGCCTGTAGGAGGCGCCTCAGGCCGAGCTTTCTTTTGTAATGGGAGAAAAAAGAGTCTCTTTGGAAGGATTGACACAGAGATATCACTGATGAAGCCTTGTGCAGGGGTGAGGGGTTGGGGAGGCATCGCCCCGTTGAGTAAGGTTCCTTTTCCAGGAAATTTCTTAATGAGGAGAAAAGGACAATTTCTTTCATGTTTCCACTTAAAATACCTTCCTATGGACCATCAGAACTGGTATTGGAATGACCAAGGCACATTATTTATTTCGTAAGCTCATAGGTTTAAAAAGGGTCTGTCTTCCGAATATTATGTCTTAAAGTAAATAGACCCAGATATAGCCTATCTAGTGTTGAACAGCTATATTCATGGTTCCGCTGTTGGTTTCCAGTGGTTGAGGGAAGTGGCAGATGTAGCTATTTTGGGGGGAGGTGGATGCTATTTTAACAGACAGAACTATTCATTGAAATCTCTAGTAGTTTTAACCTTCGGTGGTACGAATAGAAACTTAAATTTCTAAAGCTTTAGGCCACGGTGTTACTGTGGAGTACAGTGCAGGCATTAGGAATGGGCGTAGTGTTATGAAGAGTTGGGGGGGGAAACACGACTTCATAGGATTCACCATTTTAAAAGAAGCTGTATTGATGCGTCTCGGTTATCATTTTCACTCTCACCCTCCCCCCTTTGCACTTCCACCCTCTAGACACACAATCACAAAAAACAGTTAAAATAAATTTACACATTATCCTGGTCTGATTAGGAATGTCTTCTTCCACACCTAGGGTTCACTACTTCCCAGAAAAGTAACAGGTAGGTTTTATCTTAAGTCTTCTGGAGTCACACTGTTGGTCACTGAATTATTAGCATTTGGAAATACTAATTTTTGTTCATTTTTTAAAGAAAGAAAATGGCTTGGTTTGAGAAGGGCCTTCTTTTTTAAGCTTGGTGATTTTATGAATGTTAGATCTGTAGCATATGGTTTTATAATTTAAAGGTTTGTTGAACATGATGTATTTTCTACAGTGGGGTGGTTTTTTTAGTGAAAAAAAATTTTAAATACTATATTGTGCTTTCCCAGTATTTTGTGTATTACCCAGCTTGTGTTATGTTAGACAGTTCTAATAGCTGCTAAAAGCAGTGGCAATGCAATAAATGGAAAATTCATGATATGTAGTGAATACGTGATGAAACATACATGCTCTGAATATATTTAATTTTACACTTTCAAACAAGTGTCTATCAAAATAAAAGTTAGCTATTAACCAAACTAATTATGTTAGGAATAAAATTTTAAAAATATGAGTTTATTATTTGATTAAAGTTGGAGTTTTTGTTAGAAGTAGTTTAAAAACTAAGTTTAGCATCAAACAATATATTAGCTTCCTTTTACATAATGCAAACAAATGAAGCCCTGTCAGTTTATAATACATTAGAATTTTGGGAAAACAGCATATGTTTGTAGAATTAAAAAATTAAAACTTTCCCTTAGCCCCTCATTTGTTGTATAGTGAGCGTAGTTGGGCAAATGAGCTATCTGAAGACGAGATGGCAAAATTTCATGTTCCCCTTGTCCTTATGTCTCCCTGATAGGCTGCAGTTTTTTTTGAGAAGTGGAACTGATGGTATTTCCCACTGTACTATAGAAATCTTGTTTTTTTCTTTAGAAACAAATTTGATTTAGATGGATGGAGATAGAAAAACTTCTGCTTTTTCTCATTTCCCCACCCTGCCATTGTTGCCAGTTCCCTAGTTAAAGTGAAATCAGACCCATTGATACTACTGTTAATTCTGTCATTTGCTCTGGATAAAAGAGCAACTATGGCAGTCATAGATTTAGTGTAGCTTTTTGTTACACTATTCTGCCCTTCTGTGTTTTTTATAGTTCAAATATCTATTCCTTAAAACCCCTTTTAAAACACCTTTCTATGTGACCATCAAAACTGGTATTGGAAAGGCCAAGGCACATTATTTATTTAATAGACTCATAGATTTAAAAAGGGCTGCCCTCCAAATATTTTGTCTTAAAAGTAAATAGATGCAGATGTAGCATATCCAGTGTTGAACGGTTCTCTATAGTTTTGCTGATAGCTGCCAATGGTTGGGGAGAAGTGGTTGGTATAGTTAATTTTTGGGGAGGTAGATGTTATTTTAACAAAGGATTGTTTTTTTTCCTTCTAGAATGTGGCCCCACTTTAATAATAAAAGTCATTGAGAAAGTTTGTTTATTAAATTGGACTTTTTAGCGTGGCTTTTTAGAAACATACTTATCTTTTGTAGTTGCAGAATGATTGTATGAGTTAACAGACAATTAAATTCTATCTTGTATTTTGATAATGTGCTAAATAAATTTTGCTTTTTTGTATAGTGGATTGTGTCCAGCTATATATCATCAAACTCACTTACAACAATACGATTGTATGGGAAAAAAATACCACCGATTTTACAAATGAAGATAAAATTCTTATGTTTGATGAAAGGTAGCATGGTGCAGTGGAATAGTGTTCTGGATTTGGAGTCAGGTTCAAATAGGTTCAAAATAAGCCTTAATTACTACTTCCGTGACTAGGCAAGTGATTTAACTTCAGTTCCTCATCTGTATAAAGGATTGGACTTGATGGCCCCTAAAGTACTTTCTAGCTCTTAAATCGTGATCGTATGATTGAAGTATAAAATATGATTGTTTTTCTGTATGCCTCATGTTGGAAAGTGTTAATAATGGAAGTAAAATGAGGATATTAGACTAGATTATCTCTCTAATTCCCTTTCGGGTCTAAATTGTACACTTATGCAAAGTAATTTTTGGTGGGTTATTGTTTTGACTGCCAGTCGTTTTTATGGTAGGACTTTGGCAATTGTGGAAATGTGTTACCTTGGAAGGGCTACCTTGGAAAATTGCTTTTATCTGGAAAGAAATTGAAGTGATTTTTGTAGTTGTATGTCTTCTTTGGGAAAGGAATCATTTAAAAGAAACATTTCACGTATTTGGCATATTCTTGATGGGATGTTCAGATATTTTGAAAAAAATTCACCAAAGAATGCAAAGCCTAAGTTAGAAAAGAATTGGATAATTTATTAGTCTCTTGACTAGTTCAAAAACTAGTTTTGGCCAGATTGGCTTAACCAAACAGTCAGTTGCAAGCAGAGTTAATTCAAGTTATTTTAATTTGACAGAAACTGTTTTTTGTTGGCAGTAAGCCAGTTTTTTGCCTTTGCTTTTACCATGTATCTGTCAAGTAAAACAATTTATTTTTGATCAGTCTATAGGGATATTTAAGCAGCTAATGTAAAATAGTAGAAGTCTGGGAATGTGGTGTACTAGAAAGAGCATTACATGGGGAGATAAGAAATATGAGTTACAGCTCCAGGACTTTATGGCTTTGGTAATAAGGAGGGGTATGAGGCCATAAGAAGAACAATTGAGAAAGGCTGTGTTTAGCCTGGATAAGAGAAGGCTTAGAGAAACAGGAAAAATTTACAGTTTTCATATGGAAGAGGAGTTAGTCTTATATTGCTTGAACCCAGAAGATGGGTCTTTGACTAGTGGGTAGAATTTAGAGTCAAATATTGTTTCAGTATCAGAAAACTTGTTAAAATTGATGTTGCAAAAATGGAATGAGTTACTTTTGATGTAATGGATTCTGTGTTATTGGAGGATTCTTACATGTGCTTAGAGTCCTTCAGAATCCTTAAAATAATGAGTTGTTCTAGGTGATCCTTAGGGCCATTTAAAACCAAAGATTGGAAACTAAACACTTAGAAAAATGCCTAGTTATTTTTGGCTTACACTAAGCAGAATAAGCAAAACAATGTGAATTCCATAATAAATGTGGATACTTATAAAATTCTAATTTCAAGTTCTGAAATTACTGTTCTGATTTTGCAAATGGATTGATTCAGGTTCAGCCAATTTGCAGCTCAACCATAAGGTCATTCAACTGGTAAAACATTGGAATTGGATTGAACTCTAAGATTTTTTTGATTCTCAAGTCTAGTACATTTAAAGACTTTGTTCTAATGATTTTGAAGGCCTGAAATGGCTTAAGTTCATCTATCGTAAGATTATTGTAATAGTATGAGGTGTTAACGTTAATCCTAGAGATTGAATAAAGAAATACCAAGTTTTTCTTGAGAAGATGGGTTATTTTTTGTATCATTTTTATGTTTCTGTATTATTTTTTTTAAAATTGTCCAGTCTTGGCGATGACAAATTGTGTGAGTATTAAGAAAAGGGTGATTTTCCTAGTGCTTGAAACTCTGGAAAATGTTCTAGGAAAGGTAGATTCTACTCCAAACACACTCTCCCCCCTCCCACTCACTCCCCATACACGGTGCATTTTATAGGCTAGAGTATATAGAAATATTAGACAGAAAAATAGAAATAATGACTAGAGAGGGATGTCTTTTAGCTACTTTTCATACAACTCCTTTGTATTAAGGAGACAAGTGTCGAGTTGGGGAAGGGTATGTGTGTTTGTGCAAAACAGTTTTTTTAATGATGCCTTTTCAGCATGACAGTGGGTTTAGGAATGTGTACAATTATTTGTAAATTCTCTGTTTTCCCCCCCAAAAGGAGTCTAGAACTCTGGCTGAAATTGCAAAAGCAGAGCTGGATGGCACTATTTTGAAAAGCAGACCACTCCGAATTCGATTTGCTACTCATGGAGCTGCCTTAACTGTCAAGAACCTTTCACCTGTGGTTTCTAATGAGCTTCTAGAGCAAGCATTTTCTCAATTTGGTCCTGTGGAGAAAGCTGTTGTAGTAGTGGATGATCGTGGACGAGCAACGGGAAAAGGTTTTGTAGAATTTGCTGCAAAACCTCCAGCACGAAAAGCCCTGGAACGATGTGGTGATGGAGCATTCTTGCTAACCACGTAAGTTAATGTCATCTTTTATATTAATGAATCTGTTTCCAAATAAAGACAGTGTGATATTAAATCACTAAAACTTCATGTAGGGGCCTCTAGGTGGTACAATAGATAGAGCACTGGCCCTAGAGTCAGGAGGACCTGAGTTCAAATACAGCCTCAGATACTTGACACTAGCTGTGTGACCCTGGGCAAGTCACTTAACTCTATTACCTACCCAAGAAAAAAAAAACAGCTCCATGTGGACAGCGACCAGTTCTATATCTTTGTATCATGTCCTTATACCTACCAAACAGGGGATACTCGGTACACTTTTTTTTTTGAGGGAGTGAATAAATAGAAATATTTAAAGGTGAAATTTTGATTTCATCTAACAGCCCACAAAATAATTGAACACACATCAAATTATTGAAATATTATAGTTCTGAATTGTGAACAAGGAAGTCCTAATATTGGGTAATGTTGTAGTGGAAAACCACTGCAATAGCAGAATAGCCACTCAAGCATTCTATGGTTCCAACTTTATCCTTATCTTCTCTCTTGTCAGCACGGTGAACAGGAAGGACATTTGGATTATATTGTATCATCAGATCCTTATTCAGGGAATCGATTATTTTTGGAGGCTTAGGTTTGAAGTCTAGAACTCAGTTAAGTTTTATTATGATTCAAGATTTGCCACTTGAATAGCCAAAGGTTCACCCAGTAGACTAGAGCAGTTGCCCAGCCATTCCCCCTTGAACCTGCAGACTTTCTTCTTCCTTTGTTCATTATTAAAAATCTCCTTGATCTTTGCAAACATTTGGTACTTCACCACAATCCTCAAATTCTTGTTCATCCTTCTGGGCTACTACTGAATAGAATTAGCTAATTTTTGATGCTGGAAAAAAATCCCTTTCTTCAGTTTTCAGAAAATGATGGATCTGTGGATAAACTGCACACTACTGAATTCAATATACAATTATTTTAAGTGTCTGTTATTTGCTAGAGATTGCTAGAGATACAAAAACAATCTCAAGCTTATCATCAAATTGGGGAAGGGATACACCCACACACATCTATGATTTAAGGTCGATTTTGTTGAGAACAGAAAAGAGAGTCAGACGAAGTACTCTAAAAAAACTTAGAACAAACAGGATGGACTAAATGACCTCTGAAAGCCCTTCCAGTTCTGATGTTCTGTGATATTTTCAGCTAGGACAAGGGTTCTTAACTTGGGGGGGGGGAAATCTCTATTAATTTGTTTTTTAAAAAATGCTTTAATTTTTTTCAATATGTTTGGTTTCATTTGTGATCCTGTGTATTTTGTGCACTTAAAAACAGTATCTTGAGAAGGAGTCCATAGCCTTTACCAGCATGTACAAAGGTGTCTGTGAAGCAAAAAATAATTCAGGAGCCCTGAGTTTGGAGGATTAGGTTAAGGCTTCATGTAGCCCTTAAGGTAGCCCCAGAGTTAGTCCTTAAAGGAAGGGAGAAGACATTTTAACATACAGAGTTTGAAATTTTGGGAGTAGAGTCCCATTCCAGGCATGGGTAATAGTATATGAAAGCAAAAATTTTTTTAAATGTAAGCATGGTGGTTGAGACTGAGGAGTAGAATCCAATTTAACTAAAGTAGTGGCAAGATCAGAAGGGTGGGTTGGAACCAAATTATTGGCAGCCTGGAATGTAAGTCAAAGGCATTTTCTGGTGAACAGTGATATGATCATCACATACAGATACCCCCGACCCCTCCCAAGATTAATTTGTCAGGGAAGAGATATTAGAGGCCTGAACTAGGGTGGTATGCAGTTGGAGTCCCACAGATTGTGTGTAAAGGATGCAGATTGGAGAGAGATTTAGAGATAGAATTGAAAGGATTTAATCATTGGGTACAGGGTATGAGGGGAAAGTTTGAGTTTTTTTTTTAAGCTTTTACAAAGGGGTATTTACTGAAAAGATATAGCTAGGTCAGAAACATAAGAGCATTTCCAAAAGTGGGAGGTTTACTCTACCACTTGCACACTTACTGGGTTTCTGGGGAGAGTTGACTCAAAATGTTAACGTTCTCCACCCCCCCAACACATGCACATGTTGAGTGTGACATAACCCATAGAAGAGTTGTTTCCTCAATTATAAAACATAGTCCCTTACTGCTGGAGCTTTGGAGACCATGGAAATAAAAATGTGGTCATTAGTAGCATTTTGGTGATTATAGAAACCGCAGAAGTTTAAAACTTATAGAAAACACAGAAGTAAACGAAAGATGTCTTGATAGCCTTGGAAAAAACCACACTTAAGGGCCAGGGGAAAGATTAGGAACCATGCACTGAGAGGGGCAATTGATCAATAAACCATATCCTATCAGATGCTTGGTATACAGATAAAGTAATTCTTACTCTCAAGAAATACATATTCTTTCAGGGGACTGGGTGTGTATGTGTGTGTGTGAATGATAAGGTGTTTGTGAGGAAGAGTATTAACATTTTGGGTATCAAGAAAGGCTTTGTTGGTGATGATTTGATGAGAGGGATTCTATGAGGTAGAGGGTAAGAAAGGAAATACACTCTAGACATGAGGGATGGCCAGTGCTCTTGAGGAACAAGGAAGACCAGTTTGTAGCTGGGTGGAAGAGTAAAGGAAGGGAAATAACGTATAATGAGATTGGGAAGATAGGTTGGGACCAAGTTTCAAAAGGCTTTAAAAGGCCGAAGAGCAAACATTTAGTGTTTAAAAGTGTTAAGTTGGGGGAAAGACAAAGTTTAGGCTCTTCCTTTAGAGAATTTGATAATTTAGTAGTAGAGTGTGATCAACATAGATAATAGATGATTACAGTGCATTAGAAAGTCAACAGTACGTCTGTTTAAAAACTATGTGAGGTCTAAAGGGTCGATTGGTTCTGTCACTTTCCTGAAAAAAATGGCATTTGTCTTAGGATTTAAAAGGTAAAGAGAAGAGGATAGCATTATAGGAAATGGCTTGAGCAGTGGGGATGGAGGTGGTATGAGAACATAGGTCTCAAAGATAAAGAGAAATATGAAAGGAGATTTACAGCATCAGATGCTGAAGTGAGATCAAGAAAGATTAGAATTGAAGGAAAGCCGTTAAATTTGTCAGTAGCGTTCCTTTGTGATATCCAAGGTGGGGAAACCTGATTGTAAAAGAGTTGAGTTGAATGTGACTGGTAAAAAAATGATAGAAGTAAAAGTCAGGTTAGACAGATCTAACTGGCTTCAGGGGTAGCAAGGTAAAGAAACTATTTTTTGGCTAGCTGAAACCTATAAATGCAGTATGGTGTGCTGAATAGGGGGATCCAGGAAGACCTGGGTTCAGGTGCTGCCTCTGTCATCCTGGTGATGTGACCCTGGACAAAGAACCTGATTTAAATGTAATTGGGAAATATTTAATAAAATAAGTAAAAATTCAGTATAACATAACTAATGTTAATTTGTGGTTTTCTAAGTCAGTATGTGGTCAGCAGGGATACATTTCCATTTGAGTTTTATGACACTGATCTAGGCAACTCTAATACCATATATTTATTGGTAGAGGAATTTGCTCATTTTGGAGTTATATTGCTGAAATCAAAGGTGAAATCCCTAATCCCCATCTCATATCTGAAAACTCAGCGTGTTTTGTAGGAAGATTGAAAGAGGAAGAGGCGTATAAGAAGGAGAGAGTGTCAAGATGAATGAAAGCAATGGGATGGATGACTCTAGAGGTTTCAGTGAAGATCATAGTTCTTTAGGACGATACAGTTTTGTGAAAGAAACAAAGGAATTAATCAGTATTGACGTATTAATAACAATGAAAATGACATGTTTTTTTGGTACCCCAATAATGCAATAAATCACTGAATTTACTGATGTGGCTATTTCTTCTCTTGATACAGATGTCCATTTTTGTCCTTCCTTTTCCAAATTTGTCCTTTAAGTTTCCACCCACCAAGGGATAGCATCTTTACTCAGCAGTGGAGCTGGCTGCTATGATTTTCCCTCACTCTTGCTATTTGACTGCCTCCTCTTTTTTGTACAAACATTACTTTTATATCATTTGTATCTTTTCGGTATAATTTTGCCCTTTTTTTGTAATATATAGTTGCCAGTGCAGGTCCATCACGTGCCTTTCCATCGCTCTTAAGGATAGTGTTCCGTAACTTAGAGATAAAAATAATCACCAGAAAAATACTGGTATTAAAAGATGATTCTTAGTTTCTGGGTAATTAAAAGGCTTATCCTTAATAAGACTTTTCTTTAATAAAAGTATTCATTGGTAACCAACACCTGACATTGTATCTGATGGAGAAACAGTAATTTTCGCTGTATATAATATGAGTAAGGCAAAAAGTCCTTTTGTTGCCATTATTATCTGACAGACATTCTAGCTATAGTAATGACAGGAACAGGAACTAGAGTATAAACTTCATGTCAAACTCAGAGAGAGGGGGATCCACCACAAGCTGCCTACTGACTTAGAAAACCACAAATTAACATTATGTTACATTGTATATTTATTTCATTAAACATTTCCTAGTTACATTTTAATTTGGTTGGGGCAGTTTTGTGGGCTTGTGAACCTTGAACCCATAAGTTTGATACGTCCTGGTGGAGAGGAAGCAAAATTATTTCAAAAAAACCCAAACCCATAGCTAGTTGATGAATAAATTTTTTCAGTTAGTTAAAAATTGTCAACTTCAGTAAGTTGGGGGTAGGGAGAGAATGATGGATTAGTAGTAATAGAGTTGCCAAAAAAAAGTTAAAAGAAGTTCAGAAGGAAACATGGATAAGCAGGGCATGTGTTGGTACTGTTATGTTAACTTCAAAATAGGCTGCATGTGGTAGAAATTAACTGTTTCATGCACAGTCCTCTTTCTGCTTTATACATGGAAATGCTCATGCTGTTTACATTTATTTAAAAAATGAAAAATCAGTACAGAAAGTATCACTAAACGTCCAAAATCTTGTGTCCAAAATATAATGAGAATTCGCATAGATGTGTAAGATTGTGGATGTCTTTTTGAACAACTTGTATGAGAGATTTTAACTGGCACTGTGTTAACCGTAAAATTGCATTCTGTGGAGAAATTGATTTATTTTCATTGTACAGAATTCATTACAGCCCAGAACTAATGAATGGCAAACTATTTTCTGTAGCTTTTAGAATAACCAAATGATTGGACTATGGTGAGATTATAGGTAGGTCGTTTTCCTTTCTTTCTAAAACTTAGAATTCTAGAACTAGAAGATAAATCAAGAGATAATCTGCATTAGCTCTCTGCTCACAGTGGTAGATGGTAGGAATTTGAAAAAATCAGTAAGGTACAGTAGAAAGAGTGCTGTCTGGCATTTAAGTCCACTTCTTGACAGTTAATACTTTTGTGACCTTGAGCAAGTCATCTGATTTTCCTGTGCTTTAGTTCCTTTGGAAAATGAGAGGGTTGTACTAGATGTCCTCTGCAGTCTCTTCCTGCTCTTTCTAGGTCTTAAAATTTTGTAATTTTAATCTCCAGAGAAGAAAATCATGCTCTCTCAGAAGTTCCAAATTGATTATGGTTTGAAAGTTTGTTTTTTCAGTCTAACTCATGCTTTCATTTAATCAAATTCATTTTATCTTTTTTTTTATGTCAGGTAGGCATTGTCCTTTGTTTTGATCCTTTTTGAATTAATTATTTTTATAATTAATTTTCTCCTTTTCCACCTCCCTTTGCAATTAGGAAAACATAAGAATATCAGAACTGTTGTAACAATTATTTGTAGTTAAGTAAAACCAGATTCTCACACTGGTCATATCCAGAAATGCATATTTCCTTTTGCATCTTGACTTCATCATTAGTTCTCTGGGTTGCCTTTTCGTTCTAGGTTAAACAACCTTTATCTCATTTCAACCTTGCTTTGGTAAGGTATTATCACCTATTTTAATTTGATCCTTTCTGTCTTCTGCTAGAGAAGGTTGAATGAAGGAGGGGAAGGATACTTAGGAATTCAAACCCATCACATCAGTAAATAATCTAGCTTTTGGTGAGAAAGGGATGCTTGGAGTACTCCCTGTGCGTTCTGGATTCTGCACCCTGCCCTGTTCCCCTAACATTTCTAATGCTTTATCCATTTCAAACTATTTAAGTCCCATTCTCTCACTCCCACCAAATACTTACTATGCTCCACTTAAGGTATCTTATTCTTTTTCCTTCCCCTTTGTGTTCCTTGTTACCTTCTGTTAACATTTTTGCTCATCTCAATACCTGTGTTCAAATATTCCACACTTCATCATTTTTCTTTATTTCTTGTCGTACTGATCTCATGTATATTCCTATCACATACTTCATATCTGCTAAATCTTTTTTTATTTCACATTGTATGCACCCCCATTATTCTAGATATATTACATACGCCCCAGAGCAACATATACATGTTCTATCTATTTAAAATTTAAAATGTCTGACCAAATTATTTTGGAAAGCATCATTATTCAACTTGGTTTAGTTGTGTTTCCTTAATATATTGTGATAATCTGCTCTCTTTCTTTGTATTTAGATCAGAACCTCGCTTTTATTTTTCTATCCTGCATTTTTATCTCAAACATGCCATCCTGTGCTTGTATTTTTTTAACACCTTGAAAAGGTGATCAAAGTTGAAATCCTTTCTGAAAATACCAATTTAAAAAATGTAAATTGGTTATTTGGAACTGAGTTCTTTTGAAAGAGCAGTTTATGAGAAAGGAAGAAAGAGAATTTTGTGTTTGCCTACTAGGCACAGGCAAAACAAGCAGAGTAGAGAGGTGTGTGCTGTAATCCTTACTTTGTTCTTCTGCGTCTTCAGTATAGCTTTTTATTTAAATTTGCACTGGAAAGACTGGATGTCAGTTGTTGTGTTTATAACTCCTGCTGACTGGAAATTAGGTATTTAGTGTTGAATTTTTAAAATATTTTAATACAACAAAACAATGTGATTATAATGTAACTTAACCTGCTTAATAAAATTGTTGTTTGTTGTTTAGTCGTTTTTTTTTCCAGTTGTCTTACTCTTTGGGATCCCTTTTGAGGTTTTTTTGGCAAAATTTTGCCATTTCCTTCCCCATTTCACTTTATAGATGAGAAACTGAGGCAATCAAGGTTAAGTGAATAGCTCAGCGTCACACAGCTAGTAAGTGTCTGAGGCTGGATTTGAACTTGGGTCTTTTTGACTCCACGTCCAGCACCACTGTGCCACCTGGCTGCCCCTGCATAATAAAAGTACACTACAGTAAAAATAAATTGACTGCCCTGCACAGTTATTGGGGATGGAATTTCCGCAGTATTTATTTGTATTTTTCATTAGTACTTAATTTTTCAGGCTTTTGAACAGTTATTGATCCAACCAAATTGTTGTTCTCTCTTTTTTCCCTTTTCTCTGTGTTTAAAGATTTGTCAGATCTCTTAAACTTAGCCTCTTGTCTTATGTTTTGTCATTAGGCTTTCCTAGTAGGATATCTTTGTTAATTTTATCTAGTAAGGCAGATTTTACCTTTTATGAGATTTGCCATCTTATTTTTCTAATTCTTTTACGTACATGCAGATTTTGTACTTGTTTGCTCAAAGTATATTATTTTCTTGATCATGAGTATTTCTTAATAATCATAATAACATGTTTGTGAAGCTCGCCTTCACAACTGTTCTCTGAAATAGTTGCTATTATTTTTCTGATTTTTACAGATGAGAAAACAGGTTTTTAAATGTTAAATGACTTTCCCTGAGTCATATAGCTAATAAATGGGATTGATTCCCAAGTCCAACACTGTCTACTAAGTCACCTAGCTGCCAATCCTCATCATCTTAGGAACCAGAACATATTACTCAAAAAATAAATAATAATACAAACAGGATATGTTACTCAAAATAAATAATGGTGCAAAGTAATTGTGCAAAATTAATAAATGAGTGCTATAAATAAATGTTAGAGAATTTCAGAGGAGAATCTAGATTTCTAGGTTTGTTGAGTAAGGCTTCAAGGAGAAATGTTAACCTAACAGGTAGGTAATGCTGTCAATATAGTTGGTCTGTGTTTTGGAAAAGCATTTGACAAATATTTTGGATATGCTGTTGTGGAAAGCTGAAATTCTTTTTGAAGAAAGCAGCTTAAAATTTAGTTGTTTGGGAATGAGTCTTTTTTCCAATTTAAAAGTGCTTATCATAGTGCTTCACACATAATAGGTGCTTAAGAAATGCTTAGCGATTATTGTTACTTGCAGTCTTTAGGGCTCCGATTATTGTTACTTGCAGTCCTTAGGGCTCCCGGATTAGTTCACCAAAGCCATTTTTAATGCTCAATATATTTGAGTTATCTAATAGTTATAGCTTGAATTCTGGACCTTGGGAACAGCAAGTGGTTTTTACGAGGAAGGAGGAAAATACTTTCTTATCCTGCTGAACGGTTAAGATAGAGATCAAATGATAGTATAGGGCCTCATGCTTTGTGTTATGAATTTGGATCTGAAAGAGTGAGGATTTTGTGTCCAGAGAATTATTACCAATCATACAAATATTTATTGATTGCTTTTCTGCTGTATGCAAAATTGGTTGGTTTGTGTTGTAGATTCCCAGATTTTTGGTTTACAGATTTGGCCTTTGAACAGAGATGTGTAGATTTTATGCCAGGAAAGATGTGGAGGTATTACTTAAAAAAACTATTATTAAATACGTATTTGAGTATAGTTTAGGGATGGAGAGTTAACTTAGGAATGTGGAAGAGTATATAATAAATTTAACTTTGTGGTGATCCTCTTGGGTGTCAGTTACTCCAAATAATTTTTTGCATTACATATGAAGGAAATTTGTTATTACTATTAATGTTGTGAATAATTATACACAGTAAGATCAGCTGACCAGAAATGGAAAAATTCATCAGTGAGCTGTGAAATAACAAAATATGCTATGGTGGTGGGTTAGGACAGCTATAAGAAAAGAAATATATATCCTTATTGTAAAAACAAATATCTAATGCTAATAAAAAAAACTTGTTATAATTAATTGTTTTATTTTTTAAAATTTTTTATTAATTTATTTTGATTAATCAACAGTCACTTCCATATGCTTTTGAGTTTGAAATTTTTCTCCCCCTTCCTCCCCACCACCCTTTCCAAGATGGCACACAATCTGACATAGGCTATACATATACATTCCTATTAAATATATTTTTGCATTAGTGATGTTGTAAGTAAAAATTAGAACCAATAGGAGGAACCACCAGAAAGAGAAATATAATTATTATAAAAATGTTTCTAATGCACCTTGAAGAATTTAGTGCCCATGTAAATCTGAACAAAATTTTTTATTTTTTTTAACATGGTTCTTCTAAGATACTAGAATAATAAATGTGTTGATAAGAAAATTTCCATAAAACAAAGTAAATTTCTCAGAGAAAGGTCATTTTAGGTACCTTCAGTTACATTTTTAAAAATGTTGCATACCCCCAGGACACCTCGGCCAGTCATTGTGGAGCCCATGGAACAGTTTGATGATGAAGATGGACTACCAGAGAAATTAATGCAGAAGACACAACAATATCACAAGTAAGCTATTTGAAAAAAGCAACTAATGTTGTTTTTCATTACACTCTTTGACATACTACATAGTTGGTTAATCAGATAATTTGGTTAATATGGAGTTATTTACACATCCCATTGGACTGCCAGATTTTCAGAGAACTAGAGTAGGATTAAGTACATTTAGTGCAAACTATATTGAAGACACTTTAATCTTTATTCGATTCATAGTCACTTCAGGATAATAGAATGCTTTGATCATTATGAAAATCATTTTGCGTATTGATGTGCAGGTGTGCCAGTTAACAGGAATTTCTACCTTGCAGAATGCCGAGTGAATTAGTATTTTACTTTTATTACTTTTGTTTTCCTGTTTAGTAATTTAAATGGGTAATGCATATCTAATGAATAGAAGCTCTAGTTTGACTTAGGTCTTAGTGAGTTGAAGAAATATATAAACCGATTGGGTCCCTTATTCTGTTCTTAGGATGATTGTTGGGAGTAGTTTGTGAGCAAATGGCATTCTTGCTGCTAAGCGAGGTGGAAAATGTCTTCCTGCCATACTTAGTTGAGACAGGAAATAGATATTCCCATAGAAATAGGTTGTAATTGTTAGTGCTAGTTGAAAAATAGTATTATGCTTCAGATATGTTGTGATTAATTAGGTATGTCTGCCAGCTTAAAATCCTAATTACCAATTGTGACTTAGTTTCTATAGAAAGTCTTTTCCAAGTTCAAAAATCAAATTTGTAGAAAGCCAAGATCAGTTCATAATTTGAGAGCTACCTGTATATAAATGGATTTGAATTAAAAATCAGAAGCAGCATTTTTGAGGAAAGCATTTTATTAGTACAACCTTTTAAAATATAAGCCTATCTGTGTATGTTTTTAAATATTATTTTATTTTAGGGAAAGAGAACAGCCTCCCCGGTTTGCTCAACCTGGGACATTTGAATTTGAGTATGCATCACGATGGAAGGCTCTGGACGAAATGGAAAAGCAGCAGCGGGAGCAGGTTGACAGAAATATCAGAGAAGCCAAAGAGAAACTAGAGGCAGAAATGGAAGCTGCTAGACATGAACATCAGTTAATGCTGATGAGGCAAGGTAATACTAATTTTTTCCTAGTTTCAGTGTAACTTTGTTTACCAAAGTTTAGGCTTTGGTATTCTCTGACAAACAAAAGGCTGCTTAATGTTTAGTTTATACCTAACTTGTACAAATGCTTTAGACTGTGCAGCTGGTAATGTCTTGGGCTGTAGGTTTTTAGTCCCTGTTTAAACCACTGTATTGTATAAGCATAAACTATATCCTTAACTATAGCTAGTCTTAAACTTTCGTGCTCTTTAGCACGAATGGACAAGAAAATGTTAATGCACAAGAACATTTTAATGGATCACTACAAAATCGTTGCTTCTCATTTGGAAAAACTGATGCTATGCAGATAGTGGATTGATAGGAACATTTTAATTTATGGAAGACAAGATTTTTTTATGGCATCTGAAGGAGTAGTGCATTTTTGTATTTAAAGATTGTCATGTTAATGAACTTTTGAAATATTTTGCCTTTTAAACTCAGGATTTAAGTACTCCTTATAGTTCATGGCATATGGCACAATTATTATCTGCAGGACTGGATTGAAGTTGACTTAAGTTTCCTTTTCTTCATGTTGAGGTGTTGTACAGTATTTTAAACCTATTTTACTTCTGCCTTCTTAGTATTCTAAATCACTTGTTTATTAGTACATATATAAATAAATAGAGATGGATTTGATGAAGTGGAGATTCTCTTTCTGGAGGCTGGATATGATTCTTGCCTTGATATGTGGTTTTTGTGTTTTTTTGTGTGTGTGTTCTTTTTTTTTAAATGTGGCTTCATGTTTCATTGGGAGAGAAGCCATTTGCTTAAAATAAATTGCTCTGTGGGGAGGGAAATGAATATTTGCAAATGAATTTGATGTAAAAACATAAATAACAAGAAAAAGAGAGAAAAAGGGAGAAGCCTAAAGGTTTATGGGTAACTAGCAATTTTAAGAGCTGTCTTTTTTTTTAGTTAGTTGACACATGAACAAGAACTTGTATGCTCACTTCAGAAACTGCTTTTCTCACTTTATCTCTCCTTCCATTTCTCTTCCTCACTCTTTCCTCCTCTTTTACTTACACTTTTCTCTGCTTTTGCCTTTTTCTATATCTCTTTATCGCCCAATCCCCCTAATTGCTATGAAATAAGTATGTTCTTAAAAAACTGTTTCATTAAATTATTTTATGTTGAAAATAGTTTTCAGTTAAACATTGTATATTTGCTCTGCAACATTGTGATATTGAGTGGGCAGAGGACCAGCCCAGAGTCAATGTGTTTAGTGCCCTTTTCTGCCTCTGACATGTATGACTATGGGACCCTGGACTAGTCATTGAGTTTGTTAGCACCCAAGGAAACTCCTTAAGGTGCTGAGTATCTGTTGTCATTCATTGACAGGAATGTTTTCTGCTGGTGAATTCCCTACACTGGAATTCTCCCCCCCCCTCCCCATTAACTTGCTTTTCGAAACTTTGTGACCTTCAGTAGAAGAGCAAAATTCTGAGGGCAAGTGGACGGCATGAGCAGACTGCCAGGGAGTATGTTTTTATCTATGACATCTAGAATGACTGATGCACAAGTAGTAGTTATTTGTACTTGCTTATGGATAAAATATTTTTAGGTTATTGTAGGATGTAATGCAATTTGGGACGATTTCCTTTGGCTTTTTAGTTAGGGACATTTATACTTGACAAAAAATAACATCTTTTTGCTGCTTTATAGGCAATTCTAGGTGGTGGTAGGTTTTCTTAGCAGTTTTATGCCTTTGTGTCACAGTGGTAAAATGGGTATTCTGGAAAAAGAAAAATATGTAGATGGAAGATAGTTACATTAAATCATTGTTGTTCCCACGTAGCAGGTGTTAAATTATGATGACTTTATACTTTTGACACTTTGACTCTTGTTTTGGGGTAACGTTTGAGTGTAAAAACTGCTTTTATAAGTACTTTTCCTATGGAAGTTCTCAGTTATTAATGTTTCTAAGGTGAATTTTCTTTTCTAAATGATTGCTGTGATATTGCCATCTTTTCTTTTTTTGTGTGAAATGGGCTGTATTCAAGCACAGGTAGACTTCTCTAATACAAGCAGTCCCCAGACCTTGCAATCTGATAGGGTAAATGTGCTTTGATTCATCTAAGGGGATAATATGATTATATTCTTCATCTTTGGAACCCTTGTGGCATAGAAGAATTCAGTTTTCTTATTTGGGTTCCATTGTAAAGGCCTTACAGAATGGGTATTATAGGAAACAGCTGCTTCTTTATCTTAGCTTGATTCTAATTGCATGTATGTCTTTGTTACTTTAAGTTGTGGAGCTTACTTTTTTTTATTTCCATGACATATTTCTGAAAATATCCTGAAAATGGTCATTCCCATTTTATAAAAATATTCCTTAAAAGCATATTCTGTGATTTGCCTTAGTTATTCTTACCTGATTTTTTATGTTCTAAATTCTTTTCTTTCTTCAGTCACAGAAGGCATAGCTACTTTGGGAATGTAACTCTTTACCCAGAAGTCCATTTTCAAAGTTAAAGATAGTTGCTTCTATGTGATACTCCACTCTTCCAAACTATAAATCACTAATTTTACAGGATGGTACTAGCTCTTCACCTAGTTTAGTCTCTGATATGTTTTTTATGTGATTAGTTTTTCTATTCATAGGTCTCAGACCATTTTATTTCCTTTAAAAACTTAACAGTTAAGGCCATCTGTGCTTTTTAGCATTTCTGTAAAGCATCGAGAGTTGTAGATACAAAGCAGCTCTAAAGAACATTTTTTCAGGGTATTTTCATGAATCACAAGGATAAAGATTGTTTTTATAGGTCGATTTAGAATTACCTACAGTGGCATTGAAATTTTGATGTCACCATTATAGGGAGACTTAAAGTTACATGAGGGTTGCTTTTAACTTTGTATAGTAATTTGCATTGGATGATCAACCAGCAGAAAAGGGGAGCTTGTGTCCTGATTTGATAGGGAATTTATATTTTAGTGTTGCCCTACAGTGAGCATATCTTCAGCATGTTGGAAACATTCAGACTTAGAAGATGATAGCTGAACTCAGTTCTAGATCTGCCATTACCATTAGCATGTGATGTGGCAGTAATGATTCCTTTCCCTATGGATTTGAAGTATGAACGTGTTTGATGAATTTAATAATAACATTCTTAGGGGTGACTCATATTGGGAAGGACATGGCTACTGGCTAGCTAATCCTTTATCTGTACTGACAGATGACCCGTTTTTTACTGTAGTGTTTAAAGGGGACTTTGATACAGGCAGTTCTTAATGGCTTGGATTCTGGAGACTGCCGCTAAATAGAAGGAACTGCATTTTAATTTAGGTAACTGCCTACAGGAAAAGGAGATGGTATTGATTGGTTTCATTTCAGGTGGTGCTCCATTTTTCTCGGCTGTGGGGATTAAAACTTCTAAGGGTTCACCTTCCTAGCCTGACCAGTGACATTCCACAGATAGAGTTCCCACTCTATGTTTAGAGGTAGCAAAGGCAGAAGTCTGTCCAAAAAAGAATCAGGGAAGACAGAAAGCACCAGGATGGGAATCTTGGAAGCCCTATGGAGTAGGGTGCTTAGACTGGGATAGTTCATGCTCCAAAGACCTTAGTTCTCTGTCTTGAGATGACATACAAGGCCCAAAAAATCCAGGACTATGAACTTCAAAAATACAGGGGAACATAATCCATGTAGGTGGGTATCAATTGCAGAAACTTATGTTATATAGGTGAGCCTCAGGGCCAGCCCCTCCAATGCAAAAGTCCTGTAGGCAGGAGGACTTGGCTTTGTCACAAAGACTCATTTCAGGAACTAAAGCTGAAGAGATGAGTAAGTCAAAGAAAACAACAAGCAGTATAAAAATTATTGTAAATCTAAAGATTCCCAATAAAGAGAGTAAATCCATAATGATTATAAGCTACTCAAAGGGGAAAATAGATTTTCAAAAAGGACTACATGACTACTTAGAAATGTGACACAAAAGATTAAAAAAAAAAAGATTGAAACAGTGGAGGAAAAATTGGAAAAAGTGTGACAAACCTTATCCAAGTAAGAGACTTCTGGAATACTAAAGTAAACCAAACAAATCAATGACTAGAATAGAGAAAGTGAACAAAATCATAAGATTAAAAAAAAGGTGAAAAATAAGATACCTGGTAATTAGAACAACCAACCTGGAAAAGGAGAAAAAGGAGTTTAAATTAAGCTCATTGGACACCATCTTTTGCCCCCTGAAAATTATGACCAAAAAAAGGCTGACCAACACTATTTTAGAAAATAACAAATGAAACCTGCCTAAATCTCATATTAGAACTAGAGGGCAAAGTGAATATAGAATCCATTGATTGCTTCTTGAAAGAATTCCTCAAAAGAGAAGTTCTAGGTAAAAACCAGAAAAAAACATCAAAGAAATATTGCAGGCATCCTAGAAAGAAGAAATAGTTCAAGTCTCTTGTCAAGTTAGGATCATAGCCTATAAATTCTTGGAATACAATATTCTTTTTTTTCTTCTGTTTCTTTTTATTTTTTTATACTCAATAGTATTTTTTTCCCTAGTTACATTCAAAGGTAGTTTTGAACATTCATTTTTGTAAGATTTTTAGTACCAAATTTTGTTCCTTCCTTTCCCTTCTTCTCCCCAAGACAGCAAGCACTCTGATGTAGGTTACACATGTATAATCGTGTTAAATATATTTCAGCATTAGGCATGTTGTGAAAGAACAATCAGAACAAAAGGGAAAAACCACAAGAAAGAAAAAATGAAAATAGTGTGCTTCAATATACATTCAGACTCTATAGATTTTCTCTGGATGTAGATAGCATTTTCCATCATGGGTCTTTTGGAATTATCTTAGATCATTGTATTGCTGAGGAAAGCTAAGTCTATCATAGTTGTTCATCACATGGTGCTTTTTGTGTATAATGTTCTCCTGGTTCTGCTCACTTCACTCAGCATCTGTTCATGTAAGTCTTTCCAGGTTTTTCTGAAATCCACCTGCTCATCATTTCTTATAGAACA